CTGTTTAAACTTTAGGGTGATCTCATTTTTGTACTTGTTTGTGATATCATTTTTAATGTAATTATTATTTCAAAGTTTTGGGTATGACTACACATGTAAAGGGTCAATACAAATATTGAGATTTATTTATAACATTGCTAAATAAACTTTCAGTTATCACTGATCTTCAGGCCAGACAGCGTAGAGTAATATTTACATCTACTATCTCATGTAACTAATTATCTTAAGTAACTAATACATGGCTATTTGATAAGGGAGTAGGGTGACTGAGTTTGTGTGATAATTGAAATGATGTGTATGTCCAAACCTAAGGGTTTTGGCTCTTTTCAACACTGCTTCTTTAGCCACAGGAAATAAATATATTTCTATAATTTAACTATTTGTATGTTAATAAAGTCACTATTCACATTGACATTGTATAAAAATGATTTTTCAGAGTATACAAAGTCTCTACTAAGACAAAGTTCATGACAGATGCCAACTATTCTTCCATTATTTTCTGGACCATCACTATTGATTACAGTTTCTTCCTTGCCATATGTGTCAGGCGCAATACTGATTTTTGTCCACCTCAGTTGCATTTCCCTAGGCATCTCAAGTTACTTATGTCTCATCACTCTATTGACTGAACTCTTTCTTTTTTTTCCTTTTTAATATTTTTACTGAATCACTCTGAGACCCTTACAAAGCTGTTCATGATTGGATTTCAGTCATACAGTATTCCAACACCCATCCCTCCACTGTACATTTCCTAGCATCAGTGTCCCGAGGTCCCCTTCCATTACCTTCCACCTCCACCCCACTCCCCAGCCTACCTCTAGGCAAGTGATTTTCTTCTGTTTCTGTCTCTGTCTCTTCTCTATCTATGTCTCTATCTCTGTCTCTCCTTTTGGACATTGTGATTTGAAATACTGAAAGGTCATCAAGAATATTCTTTTACCTACTTTTAACACTCAGATCTTGTCCAGCATGTTCATTCCCAGTTACCACTGTCATACTGATCTCTTCTTTATCTTACCTACCCTCCGCTCCATACATACTTGTGGTTGATTCCAACCATTGACCAGTCCTCCTAGCCCCTGTTTTCCCTGGCCATGTATATTAGTCTTTATATATATCACACTCCGCCCCTCTCGGAGAGCCCGGCAAGCTACCGAGAGTATCTCGCCTGCACGGCAGAGACTGGCAAGCTCCCCGTGACATATTCGATATGCCAAACACAGTAACAACAAAGTCTCCAATGGAGACGTTACTGTGCCCGCTCAAGCAAATCGATGATCAACAGGAGGGCCTTTACCTTACCTTATATATATCACAAATAAATGAAGAAATTCCATATCTGTTCCTCTCCTTCTGACTCATTTCACTCAGCATGATACTGACCGTGTCCATCCATTTATAGGCAAATTTCGTGTCTTCCTTTTTCCTAACAGCTGCAGAGTATTCCATTATGTAGATGTGTGGTAGTTTCTTTATCCATTCATCTGTTCTTGGGCACTCCTATGTTCATTACAGTACTATTCACAATAGCCAGAATCTGGAAACAACTTGACTGAACTCTTTCTAGGTGTCTGTTTTACCTCCCTTGCCTCCCACAAATATTTTTTTTCTAGTGGAAGCAGTGGTAGATGCAAGAGCAAAGCCAAAAAAAAAAAAACAATGACAGGCATTTTCCCCAAAGTTAAGTATTCTCCTATAGTCTACAAGTAATACAAACAAAAGCTTCCTTTAGTTTTAAATAGAAAAGGGATTACTGAAAAAATGATGGCTTGAGGAATCAGTCGGGATGGGAGATGTGTGCTGAAAGTAGATAAAGGACCAAAAATGATGACCTCTCAGTGTCTGTACTATAAACCATAATGCCCAAAAGTAGAGAGAGAGTATGGGGAATATTGTCTGCAATGGAGGCAGGGGGAGGGTGGGAAAGGGGGAATAGGGGTTGTATACTGGGGATATTGGTGGTGGGGAATGTGCACTGGTGGAGGGATGGGGGTTTGATCATTGTGTAATTGTAACCCAAACATGAAATCTTATAACTATATCACAGTGATTCAATCAAATAAAAAAACCTTTACTTAATCATTCTATTTTTAGTTACCCAAGTCTAGTTTTCATATTGTATAGAAAAAAAACCATGAAGTTTAGAATTCTTCATAAATGTATGCTGATAAGAATGATAATAATACAAATGCCCGTTGGCCTCCTGCCAGGAGACCTGTCAATCAAACTTTATATTTCCTGTTCCTTTAATTTATCCTATTAATACTTTAACATTAGGGGCATTGGTGAAAAACTAGCATTTGTGGCAATATTTTAATTGGTCACTGATGCGTAGCATGTTTCAAGTCTAAAATACACTTTTACACAGTTGAGTCCTTTATCCCTAGTGTTAATTTAAACTTTTGTGCATAAATTACATATTTGCATGAATATAAAGTGATATTTTTATCTTACAATGCTTTAAAGACTTGGAGTAGGGGTGAGAGATAGCTAAAAGGTCTTCACTGCATGCCTTGTGTACATGAAGCCCCCTTTTGTAAGTTCAGTTCCTACTAGCACTGTTCACAGGAGCACTGTGAGTGAATCCTGGGTCCCCTAATTGCTTAACTCCTTCCAAAAACAAAGATGAAAGAACATAACTTGGAAGCATACAAGATGATACACATGCATTCTCAACAAAGCATGATGAAAAAATGATATCAACATGTAAAATAATAAAGCTGGAGTATTACTATTCTCTGAGATCTTCAAGTCTGCTCAGATCGGGACTGAGCATCCTCCACCCAGAAACTCCATCTTTCAGTAGGCCGGGGTCACACCCATAAACTGCCCCCCAGCGCTGTGTAATCCCATCAATGGCCAAGACCCAGAGACTATAATACCCAGCTCCCAGAAGCACGCGACCGCATTTGTGGCTGTGCAACATCTTATTATCTCATTCTTGCTTTGGACAACTTGGCAGGCTTCTAAATGTAACCTGCCCACACAGCAGAGTCTGGCAAACTCCCCGTGGCATACCCAATATGCCAAATACCAGTAACAATGATGGGTCTAATTCTCCTAAACCTGAAAGAGCCTTGTATGTGGAATTTTTAGAATCTCAGGGCTAGGACGAAGGAGACATTACTGGTGCCTGCTCGAGGCAATCGACGAACAACAGGATGATCGTGATTACTATTCTCCACAGAAATATTCACTCAAAATGGATCAAAACCTTACATCTAAAACCTAAAACTCCAAAACTCTTAGTAACAAAAAAACAGATTGTAGGACATCAAATATGAAAACGTTAAGAATCCAAAGACATATCAACATGGTAAAAAGCAACCTGTAAAGTTGAAAAAATATTTGTGAATAAATACATTAGAAGTGGAGTATTTCCAGACTATATAAAAACTCCAATGACTCAACAATAATATAAAAACAAGACTCAAACAGATAAACACAACTTGAAAATGTCTAATGAACTTGTACAGACATTTCTCCAGAGATGTGCAAATAACCAACAAGCACATGGAAATATGTTTAGCATTATGAATTATTAGGAAAGTGGGGGCCAGAATGATGGTACAGGGTTTAAAGCATTTGCCTTGCACTTAGCTTATGGCTGTCTCCTGTTCAATTCCCAGCAATATATATGGACCCTGCAAATCACCAGGAGTGATCCGTGAGTACAGAGCCAGGATAAAATCCTGAATAACACCAGGTGTGACCTAACACCACGACCACCAATTGCAATGAAACTGAGAATGAATATCACGGCCACAATGAGATGTCACTTTAAATAATTTATGATAGTTATTATGTTATAATAAAATTGATGGAAAATGACAATTATTGAAAGAATATAAAAAATTGGAACCCAGTTCATACTATAAAATGCAAATACTATAGAAATCAGTGTTGAGATTCCAAAAGCTCAGAAAAACAATATGACATATGATTCAGCAATTTCATTTCTAGGTAAAGATCACCAATAACTGAAAAAATAAAACATTTGCATACATTTGTTTATAGTAGCATTAGTCACAATATCCAAAAGTAGAAGCACCCTAGGTGTCCTGTGATGGAAGTAAAGGAAAACAAAAAGTATAGACACACAAATGCTATGCAATCTGAAATGGAAGGAAATTTTGACATTTTCGATTAAGTGGTGGAGTCTTGAAGACTACATACTCAATGAAATAAGTCACAAAAATAAAAATATTGCATGATTCCTTATTGGTGATACCTAAAGCATGAACATACAGAGACAGATGGCATAATGATGAAAGCCTAGACTTCGTAGTAGGTTGACAGTGTAGTAAAGCATAGTTATTTTTAAAAAATTATAAATTTCAAGTTGGTATGATTCAAAAGACTGGAGATGGATAACAATACAAATATATCTAATGTCTAATATATCTAATATATCACTAAACTGGCTAAAATGGAAATGATTTTGTCATATGTACATATAATACTTTCATAAAATTATGGAAATTATATAATAGATGATTTATAATAAAAAGATATGCATAAAATTGATACTGCATATTTAAAATTGTCTTAAAATACCTGACCCACAGAAGGTGAAGTGAAAGACTGTAGTATAGAACAACTTTAACGATGACTTTAAGAATGCCACGTTAGCAATAAATCAAGTGACATGAAAATAATTAAAATACAGTTGGTATTTTGTTTAATATGTACATATAGTAATAGATAATAAACATAATTTTTGAGAAGCCAAAAGTGTTCCACTGTGGAGTTTGTCTTCATTCAGTAGTGCTCAAATCTTACACTTGGCTTTTCTCATAGGCAACTATCGATGGAGTGATACCATTGATTGACCAGGGTTGGACACATAAGGTAAGTGCCTTAAGATCTGTACTGTCTCTCAGGCACATATAGTTTTAGTGGAAAAGGTATTTGTGATGGGGCTCTCTCTCATTTCCTTGCTAATAAACACCCATGTGGAAAACTAAAAACTTTTTCCTGGGATCAGAAAATTTATTTAATTATTAATGGAACACTTCATGAATCTGTGTCATACTTGTATAGGGGCTATGGTAATCATCTTTGTATTTTTAAATTTTAGTTATATGTGCTGCTGAAAGAAGAACTAGGGATCAGAAAATTTAACATACCATAGTAGAAGTAGAAAATCAGCATAAAATGTGAGAAAATAGTGAGAAATATGAATGTACAGGAGAGAAAATAGAGAAAAATATGAAGAGAAAAAGAAGAGGGGGAATAGGAATGGCACAAAAGGTTATTGTAATATGAATCTTCACTTTAGACCTTAAGTCTTTTGATTCTTTACTGAGGGCAAAATTATTTCAGTTCTTCTAGCTTCATCAATATAAAATTGCAGTGGTACTCACAAATCAATTTTGATGACACCAATGTTTTGCGACACATTAATTTAATCAGATCACCATAATTAAATTTTCCAAGTCATTAAATTACCTTTTAGAAAGTATATTACCCTTATTTCAATTATTAATCCAATTTAATGAACATTTCAAGCTCTCTTTGCTATATCTATCCTTAAGCTATCATATGAGCTTCTTTACATCCTACCGATGCAAAAAAATTCCAAGAAGCAATTGACTCAGGACAGAAATAAAGTAAATAAATAAGTGCAGTATAGTGCTATCAAATCTGTCCATAAAGATATATCCTATTAATGGAAAGGAGTTTATAAAATACTTAAAATGAGAATATGTGAATACACAATGCTAAAGTTTAAGGATATAAATGTTATTTCTGGTGTCATGCATTTGAATATCAATGAAGCTGATAATTCATAAATCTTAATCTCTTATGAGAAAAAGACTAAGGGAAGAAAAGGCATAAATAGCAAATACCAATGCCATTCATGACTCCAACTAGGTTTAATGGAAGGAATGTCAGATGTTCAAACAATACAAAAGCATCAAAAGAACATTTAAAGGTGACAAAATATTCAAAACCATAAAAGTTTGACTTATTAGTATTTATACACTATCATTTTTTGCAGGAAACAATTCAAAATAAAATATAAGGACTAATTGAAAAATTTTCTTTTTAACTGGCATTGGTTTCATTTCTATTTTTCCCCCCAAGCTAGTGTATCCTCATTCTGTGCTATGATTCCACTGCCAACCTAAAAAATCCCAAGCATACCCTTAATCAACTTTTTATCCAATAGGGCTCTCCATTTCTCTTGATCTGAGAGATATTAAAAATTCTAGAAATGTTATCTTGGACACATAAGTAGAAGCCATGAGATGATCCATAGCTTATGAATTTCTATTTGAATAAGTGAAGAAAATACTTTTTGTTCATTTTAGCCATTTTATTGGAGTTATTTTTGATACAGTAATATAACTAATCCTAATAAATACTACATTACTTCACAGAGTCATAATTTCTTTATCTCCTGCTTGGACAAAAGAGAAAAGTTAGGAAGAAAATCATTCCCAGAAAAGCAAATAAAATATCCATTTTAAACATAAGAAGAATTTCTAAGTATTTCATAAATGTAAGGAACGAAAATTAAAATCCTATGAAATTGTATTTTCAGCTGATTGGCAAATATCACAAAATACTGTGACACATCATGTTCATGATAACAAGGGAAACCAGCACTTTCATTTATTATTGATCAGAGTAGAAAAGGATAGAAGGCAGAAACACATATTTTTGACCTAGCAAATTCATTTCTATGAATTTTATAGATTTACATGTATTTATAATAGTGACCTAAGTAGAAAATTGACTATTGCTTATATTAGCAAACAATCAGAAGTGACCTAAATAATCATTAGTAAGAGTCTCATTAAATAAGTTACAGTATAACTAGATAATGAAATAATATACTACCATAAGGAATATTTTTAATTGACCAGAGAGATAGTATAGGGGTTAAGGCACTTGCCTTGCATGCAGCCAACCCCGGTTCGATCCTTGGCACCATGTAAGGTCCCCCAAACACCACCAGGTGCTACACCTAGGAACAGAGTCAAAGGTAAAATTACTTATTTCTAAGATACAGTACAAGTGAGAGTAGGTTCTAGGGTAGTTCATATAATATGGTATATCGTGTATGAAAAATTTGAACATATTCGCACAGCAGTAGGGCGTTTGCCTAGCATGCGGCCGGCCCAGCCAAGCCGGGTTTGATTCCTTCACCCCTCTCGGAGAGCCAGGCAAACTACCAAGAGTATCTCGTCTACACAGGAGTCTGGCAAGCTAACCATGACGTATTCGATATGCCAAACACAGTAACAGTAGTCTCACAATGGAGACGTTACTGGGCGCACTCGAGCAAATCAATGAACAATGGGAGGACAGTGCTACAGTGCAATTTTTATTTATTATGAATATAGTATTTTTTGGCCAAATCTGGAAATTCAGGACTTATTCCTCCTGTTTGTTTGCTCCGGAATCAATCCTGGTAGCACTCAGGATATCAGAGCAGTGCCAGCAATTGAACCCAGATAAACTGTGTTCATGGCAAATGCCCTAGCTGCTGTACTATCTCTCTGGTCCTATATATTTCTATATTCATTTATTTTTCCAGAAACTCTTTTATTCGAGGTCATTGTTTATAACACTGCTTATGCTTTAGGGATAGAGCATCATTCTTCAAAAGTGTGTTTCTAGCTGCCTTCTCCCCCAGCTCATAAGGCAAGTTTCAAAGAAAGGATCACAAGCCAATGATGGTTGGAGGGATTGCCCAGGATGGGAGATGTGTGCTAAAAGTATATAAAGGACCAAACATAATGGTCTATCATTATCTGTATGGAAAACCATAATACCCATAAGGAGAGAGACAATAAGAGGAAAACTATCCGCCATAGAGGAAGGGGGAGGGGTGGCATGAGGGTGGGGGTGGGATACTGGGAACATTAGTGGTGGAAAATGTACACTGATGGAGAGATGGTTGTTAGATCATTGTATGACTGAATCTCAAACATGAAAGTTATTTAAGTATAACTCATGTGAATCAATAATATTTTTTTGCTTTTTGGGTCACACCCGGCCATGCACAGGGGTTACTCCTGACTCTGCACTCAGGAGTTACTCCTGGCGGTGCTCAGTGGACCATATGGGATGCTGGGAATCGAACCCGGGTTGGCCACGTGCAAGGCAAACACCCTACTCGCTGTGCTATCTCTACAGCTCAATAATTTTTTAAGTGTGTTCCCACACCATACCCACCACCTCAAACAAACTTGCCTTTACTTCATTCAACAGTTTCCTCTCCACCTTTTCAGCCTGATCTCTCCTCACATCTGGTAAACTCAGCTTCAGTCAGTATCCAAATGTTTACTTTGATTTGCCTTTGTTTGTGTCTCTGTTTGACTTATTTATGTACCACACATGAAATAATCTTGTGTTTGTGTTTGTCTTTCTCTTCTGACTTGTTTAAATTATCATAACCAGTCCCCTTTCCTCCATGTTACAAACCGCAAGACTTCATCTTTGAATAGAACTGAGTAGTATTTCATTTTGCGTATACCTTGACTTGTCTACTCGTCTACTCGGCTGTTTTTGGACAAGGGTTGTTTTCAGAGTTTGGCTACTGTATTTAGCATGCACTCAACAAACATTTTTGGAATTGTGTGTTCATATGCCCTGAATTGAGTAGAATTGGAACACGTAGAAAAATCTATTTTAATAGTTTTAGAACCTTCATATTGTTTTTATAGTAATTAGATGAGTTTGTGTTCCCACCAATAATATAAGGGGATGTTTTATTTCTTAACATTTGTTGCTTGAGACCTTTTAATATTGGCTATTGTGCAGTTGGTATGTGATATTTTAGTTTCATTTTGATTTGAATTTGCCTAAAAATGAGGGTTTTTTTTTCACATGCCTATTAGGTATCTTCAGAGAAATAAATTTTCTGTTCATTTTTTTACATGTTCTGTTCTCATTCTTGAGTAATACATTTTAAAAAGTATTAGCTTCAAAAAAGTATTACTTATTAAAAAGTATTAGTTCTTCATATATTTTGGCTCCTGCATAGCAGAGCCTGGCAAGCTACCCGTGGCATATTTGATATGCCAAAAACAGTAACAATAACGGGTCTCATACTCCTGACCCTGAAAGAGCATCCAATATGGCAGCATTGAGAAAGATGAGTAAGGATAGCCTGCTAAAATCTCAGGACTGGGACAAATGGAGACATTATCGGCACCAGCTTGAGTAAATTGATGAACAATGGGATGACAGTGACAGTGATACAGTGATACCTTGGCTACTAATAAGCCCTATCCACTGCACTCTCTCTCTTGCCCCAGGATACTTTTTGTTTTAATGAATTTCTTTCCTGTTCATAAGTCTTTTGATCTGATTTCTGAGCGGATTTTTTTCTACCTTTGTTTCCTTTAAAGAAGGCCTTTGATTCTGTTGAGACAGAAGCGGTCATTGAAGCCCTAGCCAATCAGGGCATTCAAGCCCAATACATCAAGATCCTCCGTGAGCTGTATTGCGGATTCACTACCAGGATCTCACCATTCTACAAAGAAGTGGTCGTTGATGTCAAGAGAGGGGTGTGGCTGGGTGCAAACTCTTCAGTGCCACCCTCGAGAACATCATGCGACAACTGGAATGGGAAGGAATGGGAGTGAAGATAGATGGTCGGCAACTACACCACCTCCGCTTTGCTGATGACATTGTTTTAATAACACCAAACATCAGCCAAGCAGCACAAATGCTGGCCGACTTTGACCGTGAGTGTGGAAAGGTAGGACTACAGCTGAATCTTACGAAGACAATGTTTATGAGAAACAGTCTCGTTCCTGACGCCCCATTCGCTCTCAATGGAACGACCATCTCTGAATGCAACAGCTATGTGTACCTAGGTCGAGAGGTCAACCTAGCACCCGAGCTGCGCAGGTGGAAGAGAGCGGCTTGGAACACCTTCAAGAACGTTGAAGAAATAGCTAAGAGGACGAAGAACCTCCGGCTCCGGGCACATCTCTTTGATTCCACCGTTCTTCCTGCATTAACATATGCCTCAGAGACCTGGGCCCTACGCAAACAGGATGAGAACGCTATTCAGGTCTCCCAAAGAAGAATAGAAAGAGCTATGCTTGGAATATCACGTTTCACTCAAATGAGAGAAAGA